CAGATGATAAAAAGCAGATGCATGTTGTGTTCAAAGCCAAGAGTTGAGAACTCATTCTGAAGTTGGTGGGGAGCCACTGAAGGATTTTAAGTAGGGAAGGGAGATGCTCAGATTTATTTTATAATAACCACTCTGGGAGCAGAATGGAGAGCAGATTGGGTAAAGGCAATATAGATTCGGGAAGCAGTTAGGAAGATCTTTTATATCCCAGTCAAGAGGTGATAAGGGTTAAAYGAAGTTAGGACAGTGACTAAAAAGAGAAGTGTAAAACATGACCATAATAATTAGTAAATTTCTCAATATTTGGGATATTTGCTATATGCTGGCTGTCATAGATGTTGAACTGTGTAACTATTCCCCTCAGGTTTGAAGAGTTGATTCCTCCAGGTACTGAGACATAGAATGAGCTCTTTTGAAWTTTTCTCAGTTCAAGAGAGAATGACTTGGGGCTGGGGATGTGGCTCAAGCGGTAGTGCGCTCGCCTGGCATGCGTGCAGCCTGGGTTCGATCCTCAGCACCGCATACAAACAAAGATGTTGTGTCCGCAGAGAACTAAGGAAAAAAAAAACAAATGTTAAAATTCTCAAAAAAAAAAAAAAAAATAGAGAGAATGACTTATCCTAAGCAAATCCTCTTCTGAGGCATCTGCTGGCTGGTCCGTGAGGGGGCTGAAGTCTTGGCCCCTTTTCGCCAACTAGGGATAACCTTGAAGGGCCACCCATTTATGGCATCATGGTCCCATTTCATTGAGATCGTAACTCTGAAAATATTCTCCCTTCATAATCTTCCTGCACTCTGATCTTGGTCTTAGAGTTTGGTTTTCAGGGAACCCATTGTGCTAGATGCTTACACATGTTATCTCAATCCCTCACAGCAACTTAGCAAAGTAAGAATTGTTTTCCTAGTTCAACAGAAAAATTGAGGTTCAGAGATATTATCCCACTCTTAAGTAGCATGCCTTGGATTTGCCTCCAATTTGCTCTTTCTTGGTATTTCTATGGTACCATGCTTAGCAAGTGTTGGGTAGGCTGGAGAACGGAAGTTATCAAACTTATTTGGAATAAGCTTTCCCAGACAGAGGTTTGAAATCAGCAGGTACTTTTAAATACCACTCCTTGACCTACATTCTCCTTCTATTTCCACTGGAAACACATTCACAGTTCTTGAACACCCCATGTTTACTTTTGGAATCATCTGGCAACATCCTTCATCTCTTTTGGAGTGGAAAAAATGGTTCCACAAATACATCTAAGCCCAATTCCTGGAACCCAGTTCTGTCTCATGACACAAGGGACCTTGAAGATGTAATTATAGTCACAGATCTCAGGAGAGTGAATCTTGGTTTATCTGAGTGTCCAATATAATCATAAGAAACCTTAAAAAGCATAGGACTTTCTTTGGCTGGAAACAGAGAGACGCAGCAGCAGAAGTCAGAGAGAGAGAGATCCAATGTTTGAGAAGGACTTAACCCACCAAGGCTAGAGGGGGCTATGTGGACCACATGAGAAGGAATATGGGAAGCTTCTCAAAGTAACCATGCATCCCTCAGCTGACAGACAGCAAGGACAGAGAGCTCAGTTCCACAACAGCACCTGAAGGCCTAAAGAAGCTCTGAAGCAGATCTTTTTAAGGCATCAAGAGAGAAATGCTACCCTACTGACACATTTTTCAGACTCTGAGACCTTACACAGAGGACTCGGAACTGAGTCTTTTGGATTTCCAACCCACAGAAATGGTGAGATACTAAATGTGTGTTGTTTTAAGCCACTAAGTTTGTGGTAATGTGCTATGCAGAAATAACTCTTCATCAACTAGTCTGCAGCAAGCAGTTTTCAAAGTGTTCCCTCAAGGTTCCTGACCAAGGAAACCTGTGAGGTAATAGCACTGAAATGTTATTCACCTTTTCCTGTATGTTGACATTTGCACCGATAGCACAAAAGTAATGGCAGGTAAAGCTTCTGAAACCTGGGGCTGGGGTTGTGGCTCAGTGGTAGAGTGCTTGCCTAGCATGTGTGAGGCACTGGGTTTGATCCCTGGCACCACATAAAAATAAAGAAAATAAAGGTATTGTGTCCATGTACAACTACAAAAAAATATTAAAAAAAAAACCAACTTCTGAAACCTTAGCTCATATCAGAAAGTGGCACCACACTCTACTAGGGACCATTGTATTTTTCACAGCCACATATGCAACTTCACTTCATAATATTTTTGATGGAGGAGAAAAATTATTAATTTCATTAAATCTTGATCTGTGAGTCAATGTGCTTTTTATATTCTAGGTGACAAATTACAAGACACCAGTAAAGTGCTTTTGCTGCATTTCAATGTGGAATCTAAAATAGTCCAAGGAAAAGGAGAAGACACACATGTGTGTCATTGTGTTTCGAAATGAACTAATGGCTTTCCCCCCACAGAACATTCTTACTCAAAAATATTTAAAAAAAAGAAAAATAAAAAAAGAAAAGAAAGAAAAAAAAKCAACAACTAAAAACTGATAGAGTCTGAATAGGCTTGAGTATTTGGGAGATATTTTCTTGAAAATGAATGAAGGGAGCCTAGTACTTCCAAAAAAAAAAAAAATCTGATAATATTTGTTGCTGCCAAAAATAACATTTGAGCTTTCTAGCAAAGATTAGAATTTTGGAAAACCCAAATCTGCCTCCCAAATTGAACAGATTCTCAATGCTTGAAAACTCTCTTATGATATGGTATGATATGGTATCAAAACATGGCCTTTTTTGGATGTTCTAAGTAGACTGTATAAGTATTTAGAATATCTAACACATCTGAGTGGTTCAAAATTTTCCAAATGACTGTTGCACGAGTTAAAAAAAAATCTACGTGGGTTAATGGAGCCTTGAGAATGCCAGGGGAGTTTCATTGATGATTTCATATTCCACATTTAAAAAACTACTATTTGTTAAATTTAGATGCAGTTGAAAGGAGAATAAGTACAATTATCTGAAAACGTTAAAAATGGCTTTCTCTTTTCCAAATACATATCTATTCGAGATCAGATTTTCAACATTGCATTTCAACCAAAACTTCATTCACCTGTTGACCAACTCCTACCCACCCCCACCCCTCCCCASCCTCTAGGCACCACTACTCTCTACTTCTATGAGATCAACTATTTTAGATTCCACATAGGAGTGAGATCATGCAGTACTTGCCTTTCCGTGCCTGGCTTATTTCAGTTAACATAATGTCCTCCAGGTTCATCTAGGTTGTCTTAAATGACTTTCATTGTTTTGTTGCTAAATAGTATTCCATTATAGAAATGATAAATGTTAACAGTGATATGTGAATTACCCTGATTTGATCATTTCGCACTATACACATGTATGGAAACACCCCTCTGTACTCCATAAACATGTATAATTATTGTGTGTCAATTGAAAAATGAAATAAAACTTAAAAAATAATTTCACAACAGGCTGAATGTGATGAAGATATGAGAATCTAACTGTCTTATATCATTCAAGACACCATAGATTTGTAAAAATTATAAGACAATGCTATTCTCACTCTTCTTTTGAAAATGAACGTTTTTATTAAAATATTTTATTTTTCTCTTGAAAAATATTCTTATTAAGATATCTTATTTGTGTTAACGTATAACAAGTCTATTGTTGTTATTGACATGAATTAATAAATATATTACATTTCCAGTTTCAATTTCTAATACACCAAGTATCAATAGATACAAACCACAGAAAATAAAATCTTCTTAGGGTCCTCAAGATTTCTAAAGAGTGTATATTATCCACTGAGGCCCAATGGAGAGTGGGCCATATGTGAACATAAGTCAGTGGTTCCAAATACATACTTCAGAGCCAACATAATCCAGAGCTATCTTTTTTTTCCCCGCACGACTCATAGTTTGGTCCTTGTAGGGAATTTTTTTATAATTGAACTTGATTGTATTTTTATACTTACAAATTAATAAGTTTTATGTAGAAATAACAGATTCATCAKTTATTTGAAATACTGGATGGACTAACTGTATTGGGTCCACACCCTGACATGGCCCTTGGAGCTATATAGCAGCTGCCCTCTTCTGAACACAGGCTTTCCAGCTTCTCTCCATCCCTACCACTCTGCTCTCTAGGTTCCTGCGTCATCCACATGACTTGCTCAGCTCCTGGAAGCCTCTATATTGGTAATGTCTGATCTATATACTATTCTTAGTGGCAAGAAGGTGGGAAGAGCTGGCTATATTCTGAGGATCTTCTACTCTTCCCAGGGGGATATTATACAACACAGGATGCCAAGGACCCACAATAGAAATCGGAGATCATCAGAGGAGKCCAATATTTCTGAATTTGGGGCAGGAACCAAAGGACTAACACCTTGATCTTGGAGTTTCCTGACTCTCAAACTGTGARAAAAGAAATTTCTGCTATTTAACCCATCCAGTTTGTAGTATTTTGTTACAGCAATCTGAGCTAAGACACTCTTCAATAATTATCAGATATTATTTTTATGATTCTTTTGAGCTAAACTTGAGTCTGGCTTTGAAAAGGGTGGTAAACTGCCTTAAGGATTTTCCAAGCAAACTGGATTCTGTCCTTACCACCTCATCTCACAGATCCTGGGGATTTTGACATGAACGTGGAGATCTCAAGAGATGTTTGAGAATGACACAGGGTATGTGGAAAGTCACACTTAACCTATTAAATCTATCATGGAGTAGAGATTGATCACAGGGTACATTAACATCATCCCTGCATTTGTTAAACATCTATTGAGTGCTTACAATACATCAGGTGCATAAACATGGAAGTTCATGTCCTGGTTTGCGGTTACAAACAACCGTCAGATATGTATGTAATATATGACATGAAAATTTTAATTCCTTGTTTGTTATAAGCAAAGATYCACATGCTTCCACAGGACTATGAAAGAGCTATTCCTAACCTAAGGCAACTTCACCTACAATGAAACAAATCACTGTTGGGAAATTGCTTGAGAAGAGAAACAAGACCACGACTCTTAGAAAATTTTCTGTAAGTACCCAATTTATTCATAAAACAATCCAGTTTAAATATTTATGATTTTTTTCAGTCATACATTTTTTCCCATCATTCCCAAAATGTTGTGCATTTGGTTGACATGTATTTGCAAGATTAGGATCTTATAATTATAACTCTGGAAATTGTACAAGGCTTATTATTATTTTCTTATTCATCCTGCTCTCCCTCAAACACAGAACAAACAGATTTATTTTATCTTGTGATTTAATTCATCTCTTTGATGAAAAAAAATTCCTCTTTGTGCCTTTTRTGCTTTCTGAGAGAAGATGAGACGAGTGAAACATTCATTGTTTTGTTTCAAGATGAACCTGCATACTCCAATAGAACACCTCCATCCTAAAAAACAATCCCAGGTATTTCTGTGTGTCAAGATTGCTCTCAGGAGTGATAAAAAAGAGGCAAAAAGAAGCCCCACATTAAGCACAAAGATYAATATCTGGGAATATTAAATATCGCATGGCCATTTGCCACAGACAAGATTCCATCCTTGTGGCTGCAATGAAGACTCTGGGGTCACTCATTCCCAGGGATTGATGTAAAATTGGTACCATTCATGCAGTATTGTGTGTTGTCTCTTTGAAGAGAGCAGGGACAAGCCATGAGGAGCACCCCCTAGTCTTGTTTAAGGAAGAGGTATGAGTATAAAGCAGTGAGACTGATTTGAGATGTGCARCTACTGGAATCAGTTTGGTTACTTTCTACTCTCACCTCTGAGACAGGTAGGACAGTATATGATTGGCAGAGATGGGGTGCCATTCTCAAGCAGATTGGAGGGAGCTGCCCTGTTTGGGATGATCTCTATTATGACACCCTAACATCTAGAACCTCACCCATCTTAGGCATTGGCATCACTTGGGACCTTGTTAGAGATGCAGAAACTTGGGCTCCACACAGACTTACTGCATTAAAATCTGAATTTTAACAAGACTCACTGGAGATTTGTGTACATGGTGAAGTGAGAGAGGGGCTGGGCTCAATGCCCAGATGCAGTTCAACAAGACTACCTCTAGGTGGATAAATTTTATTAGTTAGAGAGACCATTCTCAGCAGGGAGAAATTATAGATAACAACTGCAAAAACAGTGTGAGGGTTTTTTATTATAATTATTATTATTTTAAACATGCAAAATACAGTCCATGCATCTGCCATTTTGAAAAGTCTCTCATCTTGTGACAGATAAAACCAAAGTTATGTTTTGGCTATCAACGTTCAATAAATGTTTCAAAATGCTTTACAGTGTAAAGATAATAAGAAATTTAGCAAAATTTGAACAAACCTGTATAAAAAACGGATACATATACCATTTTATTTCAAGGCGACATGCTGTAAAGAGTAAGTTATTATGATTTGTATTTTTTTTTTTTTTGTAAAAAGTCTTTTAACAATACAAGGGCTTAACAGATTCAGGTTTTGGGGCTACACATGCAAAAAAAAATTTGTCAGTTAGTTGAAAATCACCAAAACGTGCTATTTTAAAATGTGTATTATTATTTTTTTAAATACAGGTAGAGTAGAAGTATTAAATATTAKCAGGAGTAATATTTCAGAACTCTGTAAAAGTGTGAGGAGTTCATGGAGCTAGTGTCCTGGAAGACTCGTATACTTCTGATGAACATTTTGGTTTAATTCCTTTGCCATTGTAATAGTCCACAACTTGGTTTGGGACTTCAGCCAACACACTCTTTGCAAGGGCAGCTGGAGATGCCTGCAGAGAAGAAGAAATTACCATGATTTTGGCTCTTGGTCATTCAGACTCAAAGTGTTGAGTCCTTCCTTGTGTCTCATTCATTCATTCATTCATTCATTCAATCTGTTGGGAATCTATTCCACGTAAGAGTTTTCAGATTGTTAGCAAATAGATATTTAATTTCATCTTTCTATTTTTTATACTTTTCCTCTCAAAATATAAAACTATTTACATTTGATGACAGGTGAAGGTTGGAAGGCAGAATGAATTATTCTACAGTTTTGATTCTGATTTGCATTCAATTCTAGATACTTATTTATTTTCATGCACTGTGCTGGGTTTATGGGTCTATGGTTCTTGCCATCAGTAAAGCTGTAATCATGTGAAGGGAGCCTCACATCATCAAAAGGAACCCTTCTGTAAGGTAGAGTGGGACACAGGATACGGACCGGCATCATCACATTACATGGGAGCTATCAGCCATGTAGACTCTCAGACATAACCTGGAGCTCCTGAGTCATAATCTGCACTTTAACATGATGCTCTGGGGATTCTCATGTATATTGAGATTTGAGAAGCACTGCTAGAGGAAGTCAGACACTGTGAACAGAGCACAGGGAACAAAGAGACTAAGTTATCTTGGAGGAAATAGCAGCAGGCTTCCAAAAGGTGGGTGGTATTCAAGTTGGGCATATTTTTRAAATGTAAGGAAAAGGTAAGGGGATGGCGTTAAATCATTCTAGGGACAATGACTCATCTGATGGGGAATAAAGGTGTGTGCATGTGTGAACTGGAGATTCAGGATTGGTAGGTGTTTGGCTAAAAAAATGAGATTGGGCCAGGGTCTTGAATACCATTCGTAATTCACTTATAATTCTATTGGCATTGTGAGTCTTCTGTAGGATTTGGAGGCTGGGGCACAGGACCATGTGATCTACAGTGATGAGTCTATAGCTGAGAAGTACTGAAGCTAATATCAGGCATGAACTCTGGAGTTAAGTAGAGCTGGATTCTATTCCTAGTGCTGGTGTTTAGTACTATCTGCACAAATCCTGGGCAAACAACTTTAATTGCCTCCTATTAGTGAAGAGGTTGAAAGTTTGGGCAGACTCACTAGTTAACAAGTGTTTGAAATGCCAGAGGAACGAGGACTGGCCTAAGTGCCCGGGTGATGGCATTGCTATTTCTTTCTTTCCTATGTGGTTTGGCCCTCAGTCATTCAATTTGCTAAGCCTCAGTGCTCTCCGAGGTAAAACAGRAAGGGAAGAAATTCAGTTCATCTAACAGAGTCTCAAGAAAAGACACATATGTTTGAAAAAAAAAAATCTGAAAACATCGAGGAGTTTTTYGAAAGCGATCCCTTGCATTTTGAAGATGTCGCAGCCTGTGGAAAATTCAACCTCACTTTACAAACGACTGCTCAGGATTATGCGTTAGACCATGGTCATTGTGCACACTGGGGAAGATACAAAAGTCATTATTGATCTCTCCTTGGTCATCTGTCAAATATTTGATTTTGCAGCCTCCRTTGCTTTTAGGGATGGTCGTGTGACCCAGTTTCACCCTTTGAGATTTAAGTGGGAGTTTCCTAAAGGATGTGTCTTGGAACTCTCTTCCTCTTGGTTAAAGGGGACAGACATGGTTGCCTCTAGTTCCCTTTCCCATTTCTTTCTCCCTTGAATTAGACTGCGATTCAATCTTTATCATTGAGGGATCATGAAAGGAAATCATGACATGCTGACCCTCATACTACTGAGTCACTGAAAAAAGAAATTGCCCGTAGCTACCAGCCCCTATCTTCTAGTTACACAAGAAAAATTATGTTTGCTCCACCTTGGCACTGTTGGCACTTTGGACTGCATAATTCTGTGTGGGGGACTGTCCTGTATATTGCAGGGTATTGCCAGCATCCCTGGCTTCTAGCCACTAGATGCAGATAGCACTCCATATCGGTCACTGTTGAAAATGTCCCTTGATACTGCCAAATGTCTTGTGGGTAGTAATGTCATCCCTGGCTAAAAAACACTCATTTAATCCACTATAAAAACAGATTCACTATTACTCACAGCCAAAATATTCCTACTGTCAAATACAACCTTCAGCAATGATGGAAATGCTCTATCTGTGCTGTCCAGTATGGGAGTCACTAGCCACAGGCAACTCTTGAGGCTTTGAAATGTGGCTCGAGTGACTGAGGAACGGAGTTTTAAGTTTTATTTAGTTTTAATACATTTAAATAGCCACATGTGGCCAGTGGCTACTCTATTACAAAGCACAGTTCCTAAGTGGGTTTTCTTGAATATCAGAGCTAGTTGCACATGAGGTCATGGGGACATTAGTTGGTTAGGGAAAAGTCAAACATGTAAAATCAGCTGGTAAAAACAGTAATAAAATGTGTGTACACTAACCACATCCTTAAACCAGGCACTGTGCTAAGCTTTATGTAGACTCCCATCTTTAATCTTCCAGTGTGTGCAGCATTTGCCTCATTTTAGAGATGAGTTTGTAGCACAGGGACATTCAATAACTTTCCCAGAGCCACACAGCTTGGAAACCATGCCTTATCTACTTTAAAGCTCTGACTTATCATGAAGAGCAGAAAAAGACAGGTAACTCAAGGCTTACTGGTTTATATGAACTGATACCAGCTTCTTACCTTCTCTTTTATTGAATTCTGAGCAGATTAGTTTGGATAATGAAATGGTTTTCAAAATCTAATTCAAAATCCATGAAGATAAGGCAGGTGAATATGCTCTTGGTTCTCTGCCTTAGTTAACCCCGGAGGCACTGGAGATACTACATAGCACAGAGACTATGAGCAGCACCCCACTTCCTTTCCCTGCTTAGGGTACTTCTCTTGTTGCCAGTGCATCTCCAACTCCTGGCTCACCAATGCTCTATCCTTTCCCCAAATACCAGCTTGGAGCACTGAGGCTTTCCTCATAGGTACCCCTCTCTGCTCTGAGGTCCCACAGAAACATTTTAGCACTTCTCAACCACGCACAGGTTGCATCATATATCTTTGTTCCCATCATACGATTTTCCAGCAAATCCCTAGAGGCCAGGATCCATGGTTCTACCATCTTGCTGTGGTTGCAGTATCTAATGTGTGCCATGCACAGCTGACCCTCCATGAGCGTTTGGGGAAGAGGATGGAGGCCTGAGGTAGAGGGTAGATCTTTTGAAGGTTCTGTGATATTATTCTTGCACATATGTGTTTGCATGTACRTGCACGTGGGGGAGGGGAGTGGGAGAGCGTGGTTTGGGGCAGTTCATGAATCTCCTAGAGAGTGAGCTCTTTGATCCCTCTTCACTCAGGCAGAGTTATGAATGGTAGTCCACGCCTTGCTGTCCACATGCAGACACCTTGAGTGCATGGTGAGCCTCTTTCACTGAGTGAGTGTTTTTCTTTGTAAATCTCCTTAGGAAAAGAGGAAGATGGGATATGGTGGCATAATTACCCCTCACCCACATGCATTGCCCTGAGAGTTTGTCGGGGAGATTGGCTCACTGCTGTTACTTGAAAACTCTCTCTCTCTGCACTCCACTCTGCAGCCAGGGATTGATTTTCTGCTCCTTTAATGATTCTAATGACACTGCAGCCTTCCTTAAAAGGACAATAGTAATTGTGTGGCAGTAGAGTTATGAAGAATCTCATCATTCAAGAGCCCTGGAGTGTATAGTTACTTCCCTGTGAGGCCCAGAAAGGTCATGAAATCTAGGGTTCAGGTGAGGCTGTGGGGCTGGTGMTTTATCTGAATCCTCACTGTAAAGCCTGCCCAAGAAGACAGCAGAACAAGCAGCCATTTCTGAAGAGAACACGCACTGCCAGGTTCAGTTGGAGCTGGGGTMCCAGTGTGAGCCCCAATTGAAACTGTGCCTGAAAGTGAGTTTTTGACTGGAGGAAAGGACTTTTCCAAATAAGCACCAGGAGGGAATGATTGGAGTAGATGCCATGGTATCTGTGGCTTCCTCACCCTGAACTAAATAGTTCACTGGAGCCCCACTAAGACAGAGGCTGCTGCAGAAGCTAATGAAGATGTTTCTTGGAGGGACCCTTGAGGTATGGGGACACAGACTTCCCTGAATTAACGCTCCAGGTGACAGAGGGCACAGGGCATGTTGGTGAAGGAGGGGATATTTTTTTTTCCTTTCTCAAGGAGATTGGGAAGCAGCTTCAGGACATGGGAATTTGGTGATTCCCTCCTGCTGGGGCAGCTCAGGTGTGGTGACTGATATGGCTGTCACCACCAGCAAGGAAGAAGGCAAGGCTGTAGTGGGCAGCAGGAGCCATGGGCATGCTCTGCTCTTGGGCAGCTTTCACAGGAGGATTGTCTGTAGCCACCCACCCCTAGGGACTCCCAGATCCAGTTGGAGAAGGCTTGAGAGGAACTTTCTATGAATCAGAGAAGGCATCCCTTTGGGTGATCCTAAACCTATAGGTGCAGGGGTTTGTGGCAATTTTGACTGTGTTCCTTTCTTCAGGGACTTAATTATCCAAAATTTGGAAATGCAGAAAATTGTTACTGTGCGTCTTTTAAATATAATCCTACTACATTGTCTAATGGGCCAGGTTCAGGGMTGTTGGGGAATGTGATGCTGCTTTACTACTTATTATTGATAAAGATCCAAGATGTAAAGTTAGATATTCATTTGTAGAAAACTGATAGGATGCAAACAATTTCTATCCAGTAGAGAAGGTCATTCAATGATTATGGTTTGTTTCTTTTCTTTCTCCTTTCTTCATTTTTTCTTTTTCTTTTTTTTTTTAACTCTGATGGTTCATTAACCAGTCTACTTTAGCAAATTTATTCCAACATTTCCCCCTCACTGATCATATTCAACTGCTCAATATATTTCTTTGAACTACCTTTGTCATCTTGTGCATGAATGTGTTAAATAAATCTTTGATGCTGCTTAATATATATTTACAGGGGATTTAGGTTTCATACTTTACCAAAGCAAAACAGACTTCTGCTGGGGCATGTGGCTTGACAAGCAGGACCCGGGATGATTTTTGGTTTATTCTACTTAGTCAAGCACCTTTGAGCAGCTGCCCAGCTTTGCACAGCAGCAATGGGTGCAGCAGGTGCTAGAGATCCTAAATTGTATGAATGAGGGCAAGCATTAGTAACATTTTGGCTACCACAGTTAGCGTGACTTCTTGTCTATACATCCATTTACACTTCTTACTCCAAAGAGTCATGCTCTATACATATCCTTGCTGTGGGAGATGGCTGTCCCAGGCAGGGATAGCTGGTGTTTGCTTCGAGAATGACAGATCACCACACACATTGGTGAACACATGTGGGAGGTGAGCACACTTTSGTTCTCTTCTCCCACAGGAAGTGCCCCCATGACAGATATGCGTACGTGTTTGAAGTTCCTGAAGGGCACAAACTGGACGATGTCTCGAAGGACAGGCTCTCCCTTGGGCGACCTCAGAATCCCATCGTCACCATCCAGCATCTGCATGTCACTGAAGTCAGCATTCCCCACTCCAACGATGATGACCGACATGGGGAGGTGGGAGGCATGGACAATGGCCTCCCGGGTGTCCGCCATGTCTGTGATGACACCGTCTGTCAGGATCAGCAGGATGAAGTATTGCTGTAGTYGGATGCCAGGTGGTGGGGAATGGGAAGGAGGAGAGGCAAGGACAGTACAATTACAATACCAGTTAGGCACTGGGGTGGCTTCATTGCTTAGTGACCACAGCAACAGTGATGTCAGATATTTTTTTGAGTGCCTCTTCTGAGCAGCCCTAAATTCTTAAGGTTAGGATGCATGGAGCTTACAAGTGGGTATAGTAATTATAGCTTAATTTTAATAACCACCTCACTGGCAGTTCCAAAGCACAGTGTAGTAGAAAAAGTAGGAGTTCGAAATTGACAGGAATGGCTTCAAAGCCTCATTCTTCTAGACCCCAGGAAAATCTCTCAATGCCTCTAGGTCTTAGCATCTTTGGTTCACAAATAAGGGATGGGATGAGATCATGGATATAGCCTTCCTCAGCTTGAAAAATTTTTTAAGAATTTAAAGCTGTGCAGTCTAATACAATAGACACTAGTTCCATGAGACTACTGAGCCCTGGAAATGTGGGTAAGGCAGTGGAAGCACTGAATTTTAAAATTTTTAGTGAATTTAAATTTAATGTTAAAGATTGATACCAAATTCAGTTATTGACCACTTTTTAGTTATGTTTGGAACAACTCATCTACATGAATCTATATTTTCAGCTATCAACTTATAATATCTAAATGGAGATCAAGTATTGGCCATAACTCAGCACCCAGAGATACTGTAGTGTAAAATATGCATAGACTTTAAAATTTTGGTACAAAAAAGGAAAAAATATCTCACTGATAATTTTTTTATGGAGTAGATGCTAAAATGACAATATGTTGGCTCTTTTGGATTTTAAATTWAAAAAATTATTAAAATGTATTTATTTTTTATTCTTTCAATTTTTTTAATGTAGCTATTGGAAACATTGTATCTAAGATTTGCATTATATTTCCATCAGAGGCATTGGTCTAATGCCATGCTAGGAGGTGTCAAGGCTGTTGTCTCTCCCTCTGATGGTCATGAGCCAAGGACACAGCCTTTCTCAAGGCACTCATGCAGAAGTTGTTGTACTCCTCTGGCTTCCTGCTCTAGGTCCTGCGTTAAGTCCTGGATTCTGGCCTACGGTGTCCCTAACCCTTCTCACCTGGAGAAGCTCAGCTGAAAAGGGTATTGGAGGAAAAGTACTACACCCATTAGCAAAAGAGAGCTTGGGAGGTGTGTTAAGAGTTTGGAGAAGAAAACTTATTGAAGGTGAGCACTGTTACTGTTATTGGGAGAGACACCATGCTGACTTTCACTGATGAAAGAGGGGAGGGAAGAAGATCARTGAGATGTGGCTCATGCCATACTCAAAAGCCACACTCAAAAAGAAATACCAATATAATTCCTGCAATATGCCCATCATTTGCAGGGAATAAAGGTAGGAAGATTAAAACATTCTGGGCTGGGGGGTGTGGCTTAGTGGCAGWGCATTTGTCTTCCATGCGTGAGGCCAAATTTGACCTCCAACATAGAAAAAAAAATCTACGTTGTCACATTTCAAAGGAGAAAGTCTGGATAGAGGAGCCGAATTTTGAAAACATCTCATTTTGAGACTCACACACTTCCAAGGCTGCAAATAGGTTGGCACTACTAAAGAGTTTGTTCTTTTCTCCTTTGTCTATATACCTGAAAAAAGTTTTTTAAACAAAAAACTATGAACTAGAGATAAACAAAATTCATACTATGATGCAGACAGCCACATGTCCTGAATGCTTTCCGTACAGTTTGATGCAAAGACCAGTTTTGTTCCATGTCTATTCACTGAACACCCACTCCTAGTCCTAACCTAGTCCTCAATGTACACCCATATCTTTGCTTTCTTCTTATATGCTCACAAGGAAGCTGGTCTGGGAGTTTAGAGGAGGGTTTCCGTAGGATGATGGTATGGAGGAGCTAGGGAGGTGCAGAGAGAAGGGGAAGAAGGAGGCGATTTGAGTGGTTTGGGGGTGAGGAAGGTGTATGGAATACACCAGAATGATTAATCAGCCTTGCTGTGGTCCATCTTGGCAGGTGAAGGCAGATGGCACATGTAAAAGGAGGCTGGGCTTCTGATTCCTAAGTGGGAGCCCTTGAGGGACTCATTTCTGTGTCATCATTCTCTGCCYGCCCCTACTCCTGTCTTATCTGATCTATAGATGGATCTCCCCTCCCTGATCCATGCCTCAAAGAAAAACAACAAAAAAATCCCTGATGGTTACACCACCACACTGGAGAGATTCAGAACTGTCATGGTCCAGAGCAGGGGTTGAGAAACTGTTTTTTGTAAAAGGATATTAAATAAATATTTCAGACTTTACAGTCATAAAGTTCTCTACCACAACTAGAGACCATAGGGTGAAGACAGCCACATTCAATATTTAAAACAAATAGGAGTGGCTGTATACCAATAAAGCTTACAATAAAGCTTTATTTATTTAGGAACACTGAAATTTGAATGTCATTATTTTAATATGTCACCAAATATTTTTTCTTGTACTTTTATTCAACTATTAAAAAATATAAAAATCATTCTTYGTTGACAAGCCATTGAAAAACAGGCTTTGGGATGTTTGTAATGACTCTTGATGATGTAGAGCAGTGTTTCTTRGCCTGGGTCTATGGACTCCTAAAAGATTTTAAGCAGTTTTTGAACTTTGAATAAATTATATTTTGATTTTTACTAATCTTTAACTGAAATTTATAATTTTTTTCAGTTATAAATGGAACCAGCAAATCAGATTAATGTTAGTTATATTTGTGGCTTAGTCACAAACAGAAATTACAGAATGTTTTCTTATTACATTACAGATATAACATATATATTTCATTGTATTAATTATATTCAACACTACTCAGGAATTATGGAATTATTAGACTAGCTACTYGTTCTCATAATTTAACATGTAAAGAAAATAAACTTTTGCCAGGTGCGGTRGTACACACCTATAATCCCAGCAGCTGGGAAGGCTGAGGCAGGAGGATTGTGAGTTCAAAGCCAGCTTCAYCAACTTAGTGAGGCCCTAAGCAACTAAGTGAGATCCTGTCTCTAAGTAAAATATTAAAAAAAGGGGCTGAGGATGTGGCTCGGTTCTTAAGTGCCCCTGGGTTCAATCCCTGGTATCAAAAAATAAAAATAAAAATAAAATAAAATAAACTTTTTAATACTATATTTATAATGCTTCCTTGTCACATTTAAGAACAAGTTTGCTAACTGCATTTCAATATGGCTGTTTATAATTTATTCTGTGCACTTGCAACACTTCTGAGAAGGGGCCAATTGGCTTTACCAGTTGTTAAAGGGATCTGTGAAGCAAAAAAGTTTGAGAACCCCTGGTCTCAAGAGATGGCCAGGATTCTAGAATCTAACCATTCCAAAGATAATAAGCTGCGGACTGTTGCATCAAAACCCTGATGGAAATTTTCACTAAAGCTAGCAATAAGAGCTTCTTCYAAAGTCAAGTTGGTAAAATGCTCATGGATGAGGTATTAGAGCTTTTAACATATCTAAGGTCATAGTTAGATAAAGAGGAGATTTTTTTTTCTAGAAGAATTTCACAAAAATCAAGAAGAAAATCTTATAGCAATTAACTCCCTGGCACAGTTTGCCTATGAGGTTTATGCTCATGACCCTAAGAAATATCACTAATAACAAGGGACTCTGGACCACAGACTGTTCAAAGAACAGGAGAAACCTCTGAGAAGAAACACCTGTTCCTGACCTGGAGGGGAAATTTATCTGGTGATATGTGGATTAGATGCTTCTTGCATCTAATCTTCCATCTCTTGACTTGTCCTTTCAAAGCAGACCCACCACCTCTGAAGGAATGAGAAATAGCCAAAACCCATCCTGGCTTATACCAGCCCCAAGTCTAGGCCTAGGTTAGTACTTTCTCTTTTTAMTTTTGCATGTCCTAGTATACCAGAGGAGATGAGATAGTGCACGCTTTAAACTGTGGTCTGGGGAGCTTTAGGGATGCCTTGGACACTGTTATGAATAAAGGGGATCAAAGAGAACAAACAACTTTTCACCTTATTCCTTAAGCAGATTTGACAAGAATAACATTTTTTTAATAGTTTTATGTGTTGATTTTCTGAGCAAGGTATCATTTAAAGAATGGGTTCTAGAACTAAAAAAAACAGTTAAAAAATAAAATGAAAAACTGATTCTGCCCAAAACGTCTCCCTAAATCTTGCATCTATGAAGATTCAATTTGCACCAAGGCCTCAGTGATTGAGGGAAAGGGGAAGCCTTGTAGGGTCCACGTCTTAGTGGAGATGTTGGCATGCAATGTTGAGAGGTATCAATGGTTTCTCAAGAGAAGAGGAAATATGAGCAGGGAGGAGGCATGGTTTTCTTAGCTTCCACACCCAGTAGAAACTTGATCACGTCAAGCCATCAGCCTCTCTGCTAGATGAGATTGGGGAACTACAMGTGGTGGACAAGCTCTTCTCATTTCAGAGCTTCTGTATAAGGAGAGAGGAGACATAAAATACCCAAGTAAACAGAAACATCTAAAGTATTTCAGGTAAGAGATAAGTGCCACAAACAAAAAATAAAGCTGAGGCATGATAGGGATGGGTGGATGGGCTATTTTAGATAAAGCAATCAGTAGGATCTTTCAAAAGAGTTGATAGAAGTGAATGGCTCCTGTGGATGTTTAGGATAAAAGAAACCTTAGCAGGGAAGAGCAAGAGAAAAGGCTTAGGGGTGGGAATACGTTTGGTGTGTTTAAAAAGCAGTGAGAGGCCAGTGTGACTGGAATTGGGAGCAAAAGAGAGTGTGMGGAGAATTAAGATCAAGAGGCAGGCAGAGTGTAGTTCACATAGAGCCTTCTAGCTCATATGAGGGGATTTAAATTTCATTCTAAGCATGATAAGAAGACATTGGAGAATTTAAAGCAAAGGAGTAACATGATACTAATTTTGTTTTAAGAAGATGGGTCTGTTTTCTGGGTGAAGTAGAGATTGCAATGGGAAAGAAAATGAAGGAGGGAATCCAATTAGGAGGTTTTTGCCTCAGTTCAAGTAGAATGTTGGTGACCAAGAGTAGCTAGGAAGGTAGTCAGAAGTGGCAGCATTTGGGCTTTATTTTGAAAATCGACTGCTATAACTTGATGGTAGATCAGAAAGTGGGTGTGTGACAGCCAGGCTTCAAGATGGCACCSAATAATCCTCACTTCCTGGTTAATGTCTTTATGTAGTTTTTCTCACACATAATTGSAATGCCCCAACTAAAATAGGGTATTATGGAAATGAGAGATTGCCACTTCTTAGGCTAAATCATAAGAGACAGTGTGACTTCTGCTTTACTCCTTCTTGGCTCACTGGCAGCCCATGTAGTAAAGATCTGAAGCCTCTAGCAGCAACATGACAGGCAGGTGAGTGAATCACCTTGGTAGCAGAACTTTCAGCCCCAGATCAGCCTTCAAATGACTCCACCCTAGACAATATCTCRAGTACAACCTCAACTACCCAGATTGACTGTGCCTGAATCTCTGATCCACAGAAAATGCACAAGAAAATAAATGCTTATTGCTGTTTTAAACTGAAAAATGTTGAGACAAATGTTCATGAAGCAAAAAGTAACTACTACAGGACATGAGGGAAAGAAAGGAATGAAGAACTACGTCAAGCTTTTGACTTAAGCAACTAGGTGAATGTTGGAATCATAGAGACTGGGAAGTTGGAGAAAGGAGTTGGGATGCGTGAGATGGTCAAAGTTCTGATTTGGATATGCTACATATGTACTATTGATATCCTGATGGAGATGATAAAAAACAGTTGAATGGATGAATTCAAAGTTCAGARACAGGCTGGGCTACAGCTACATACTTGGGAAACATAGTGTGCATATGGTATATAAGGCCATGACAACGAACAGATACTGCAGACTAATGGAAGAGGTTCAGAGACTGAATTCTGGAGATTTAACGTCTGGAAGTCAAGAGGAGGAGGTAAGGGCAGAAAGAGATACTAACAAAGGGTGGTCACTGAGACAAGAGGAAGACCAGTGGAATGTGGTATTCTGGAAGCCAAGTGAAGAAGGTATTTCAAGAGGAATATGATCACCTGGATCAAAAGCCACTGAGAGGTCTAGACGAAGACAGATTTGACTGATGGGTTTGGTAAGATAGAGGTGATTTTGGCTTTGACAAATGTAGTTTTTACTTGCATATCGAAGAGTGACTAATGAAAAAAAAGAGATGGTGACAGTGAGTATCGTCAACTCCTTCAGTGAATTTTGCTCCATAGAGGCATAAAGGTAGGGACAGTTGCTAAAGGATAAAGTGGGGTCATAGGAGAGATTTTTAATAAATAGGAGACATTATGGAATGTTTACTTGCTAATGGGAATGTGTTTATAATAGAAAGGGAAAAATAAATGATAATCAGGAAGAGTGGGAATTTAATTATGAGTCAATGTCCTTGGATAATTGGGAGGGTACATGCCCCAGTGCACAAAAGCAAAGGTTGGCAATAGGTAGGAGTGTGGTCCTCAACCTGTCCTAAAATGAGGGAAGGCTTGGAACATGGGTGCATTACAAGTGAGTTAGGTTGAATTAATGTAAGAAGATGAGGGAGTACAATCTTTTTTACATTTATGTGAATGTAGCATCCTGGAACCAGGATGGAATTACACAGAGAATTTCAGACATCAGTAATAGTTTACTAAATTTGAAGGAAAAAAAAGGTTATAAAGCTGAAGAGAAATATGTTGATATCATTTAAAATAATAAACACAAAAGTTACTAGAGTAATATGTTCACTTCTAAAATATTAGGGAAAAGAAATTCTTTTTGGATTCATAGCCTTAGTTTGCATTTTTCTTGAGGGGGGAAAAAGGATGAGAAATAAATATTTGCTGCACTTTGTCACTAAGAGGTAGAATCATCTTCTGTTTTATTTCTGTGGAATGGGCTCATTGGACAGCAAGCTTATTTTGGATTTATTTTTTCTTTCCTGGGACAGGAGGTGGATAAGAAATACTTCAGTGAATACAGTAGCTCCCATTGTTGAGAGTCCTCTGTGTTCAGGCAATGACACCTCGCTAAGTCTTACCACTCAGCAGAGGTGGGTTTGACCATCTCCACGTTTTAGATGAGGAGATTGAAGATAGGGGATGTTGAAGTCACTTGTCCAAATTCACACAGGTAAAAAAMCAGGGATTTATTGTCGGACTGGGATGGGTGTTGTGTCCAATATCCATATGAGGAAAGGTAATCTCCTGTGATCATGTGGACTGCCCCTCTCCTTACCGAAGCCTCCTTGGTGTTAGTCTCCTCCGAAGCTGACTTGGCGACTTTCTGAATGATGGGGGCGATGTTGGTGGGGCCATAGAGCTGGAGCTTAGGAAGGCAGCTCTGATAGGCTTCCACAACTCCTTGGATTCCTAAGGTGGAATAAATGGGCAACGATCAACAGCTCCATATTCCCTTCAAATATATTTAAACACACACACACACACACACACACACACACACACACACGGCATTGAATTGCTCCAAATAGTTCTTGTCAACACATTTATGTTCTTAAGATAAAAAGGAATACACATCACTGTTGTTGCTGTCTTTCATACTGAAATCATTTTTCTCTTTGAAGGCTAAAGTCAAAAGCCACTTTATGGTAAATGCCAACTGGGCCATCTATAGGAGTCTGTGTCCATAGGTCCATCTCTCCAGACTTGATTCCTTGTGGGCAAGAATCGTGACTTACTCATTTTTGTATCCCCCCAAGGAGCTTGAGGCAGGGTTCACATGGTGAGTGCTCACCAGGTGTGTGATAAATGAGAAAAATGGCTGCTGTAGTCATGTCCTGGCAATTGTAGCTCAGATGAATGATGTTCAGTATCATGGTCAACCTCTCATTGAAAGGGGTGCTTTCACCTTAARGCCATGTGAGCCCAGGAAAGAATAAAGGATGGGACTCTGCCAAGAGAGGCAACCCTGTCTGTGTAGCTCATGGGATGAGTCTCGATCACGTTTCACATTGCCATCCCRATTCTATGGTAACAGTACWATTACCAATAACTTGCATACACATAGAGCTTCTTGGTGTCTTATGCCTGTGTTACCTCTTATTCTCCCTTGTTCTGGCTCATCATCCTGTCTCTTTCTATCCTGAAGCAGCACACCCTGATTTTTTGCCAGAGGGATCCACATAAGCTTCTCCTAAGATTGTTCTTTATAGCCACCATGCACTGCAAATCAGCTTTTGCATACTTTTGGATGAAAGTTCTGTTCTGTTCTGTCTTATACTCATGTTTACAATCTCACTAAAACAAACAAAAAAAATCTGCACCTGCTTTGCCCTACCCCAAATACAGATTCCTGTCATTTCAACCACAGAGACCAAATCATTATGCAGCTTGGTTGTGAAGTTAGGTGATACCGAATGGAAGCTCCTTATCTATTTTGGTTCTCGAGCCTTTGTGCCAGGATAGGGATGTAGGTAAAATACTTGCCTAGCATGAGCATCCCCAGTACTACAAAACAAAATGATCAAGTTTTTCCCAAAGATAAGAAAGTTTGCCTTTTCTTTAAACAATAACAGTCAGATGAATTCTAAGAGTATGACCYAGGTAAACTCTAGTGTATGTATTTCATACTGCCTTGGTGGAAAATGCCTCTTACAGTTAAAGAATGGGAATGACTGGGGAAGAGGGTTCTAAACCATAATAAATGGAAACAGGTGAGGGATCTGGGGAGGGAATAGCAGAATGAGGATCAGGTCTTAGAGGTTACTGTGTTCCGATCTAATCATCCTGGTATTATATTCTTGGGCAGTAAGTGTCAAGTCTGTGAAAGAAACTTCTGGATGCTTTTCATGCTCCACTGAATCTGAATGAACCCGGCTGCAGCCCCTTTCCTCCTTCACAAGGAAAAGGAGAGAAATATGGACACTTCTACTCTAAGAATGTCTTCAGATCTTCATAGCAACATATGCACTGGGCTCTGTTTGTTACTTGGAAAACAGAAAAAAGCAATTCTAGAATGAAATTTATGATCATAATTATCATTATAGTTTCAGCCTCATTATTTTGTGSAATCATGTTGAGGAACTTCTGGCTGGGGATAATGAAACATGGACCAGACAGAGCCTTTCAGAAACTCTTTTTGGCACACAGCCACGAAGGTATTTGTTCAGAATCACTGAGGTCATGCCCCTTGCCAACATGCTGAAAGTGTCAAGGGATGTCCATTCCCCCCCTCCTTATAACTGCATAGAGAGGAAGTTATGAAAAATAGATACTTGAAAACTTGGAAAGCAGAAAGAGGAATATCTCATCACTGCCCACCAGGTGAAATTCCTCCCACCACCCCTTTTTTGTTTTTGGCCAGAGGAATCCAGAATTGAGATTGATATTCTTGCTGCAAACTCGAGGTCTCTTATGCATTCTGTCTCGTCTAGCTCTTATTTTTTTTTTCCCACTCTATTATTGTTGTTTTCTGCTGCTTTTGGAGAAGCATGGTTTATTTGGACCCAGCAAGCCCACTTCTCTGCTGCAGACAGTCATAACTGATATGCTACAACCGTGGAGAAAAAGTAAAATGGGAGAGGTGTAAATGGAGAGGCAAAAAGACTTTGGCTTTCTTTTACATTGGGATTTACCTGCACATTCTGGGTTGTCTTCATTAAAGTTGATTGCAAAGTCATGAGAGACCTAGACATCAATTAACATTAAAAAAAAAAAGGAAGAAAGAGAATTACAACTTTAATCCAGTAAGGAGGCACTGGGGTTTAGAGTTTGCAAACAAATGCGGTTACATTCATTATGTGTTAAGCAGCAGGAACCATTTTAAGCCTTTACACAATCAATCTGAGACGGAGGGTGAATTCTAAGCTCCCTGTGGAGTTGAGGTGACAGGAAGATTTTCCAGAATCAGATAAATGCTGCAGGAGGGGGAAATAAGGCACATTAAAAAAAAAAAAAAAGAAAAAAAAAATAAGACAAGATTTCAGAAAAATGTAACTCCCAGTTTCTAGATAGAACTGGCCAAAGACTGCAGGCTTAGATTTGGGTAAGTTCTATTTGAACCTAGTGATATATATATATACATATAACAACTCAATTTGCCCCAAGCTGAATGCTCAAAATGGTGATACTTACAAAGACCCAACTAAGCTGTGACATTCAAAAAACATTCTAACGTAATATGCAGAATACAGGGCATGAGGATTTTTCAGATACACAGGTAAAATACACTACATTTTTGAAAAATGAAAAGAGGAATATACCCTCTCATCTTCCAATACAAATCCCTCTGCCTRGCAAGACCTATGCATAAGGTCAATTAGCATATTGTTTACACAAATCTGATTAAAGAAATGGGAAGTTTTGACATCTGGATGTTTTTATTGAATCACCTGAAATTTCTCAGGTAATTCCATTTCTTTTCTTCAAAGGCTATTTCTGAGCACTGGCTCACTTGGGTGCTGTTAAAAGATACCTCCTTTTAAGACATCTCCTGTCATAGGTGATGGCATTGGTGCTTATATCACATTCCCCTGTCCTTAGTTTTTTCCAAGCGAGTCAGCTGAATTCCAATCATTACCAGCTTTATTTACTTTAGGTTTTTCTCCAACCTCCAGAGCTTGCTTTGCCTGCCCAACTGACAGGCTAAAAGCATTGAGGAAAATGTCCCTGAGGAGCAGAACTTTCAGTGATTGGCATAAGACAATGTATAAATATCCAGCTCCTCTGTCTCTTCTGGACTGTGTGTGTTCTACATTGTCTTCCAGGGTAACCCAGCAGGGTAAGATTCTAGTTACCCTCAGTAGTAACCGGCTTGACGATATGCCCTAGGTTGATTTTCTCCTGTTTCCTCACTCTCTTGTTGAGGTTTCTTCCACCTCTCAAATAAACTACTTGAATCCAAATCCGTGCCTCCAGTTCTCTTCCTGGGGAAGTACAAATGAAGTCAGAGGTGCCTGTGTCTCAGTTTCAATGCAGACTCTGGGAGTTTTTCCTAAAGAAGACAGAATGGCCTTGGAAAACTTTCTAAGGGATATATTAGCTGCCTGGATCATTAGTGTCTTTCTGGACGARAAGGGAAATTAGGAATGGAAAGAGGGTATTTGAATGGCTTTCTGGGACCAGAAGTGGGGAAACATGAGAGATGTCTTTTGGGACAGCATGAAGAGTAAGTTACCTGGGAGGAGGGATGAAACCAAGGGATCAAGTGAACATGAGGAATCCAGAAAACAGCAAGAAGCAGAAAGAGGTCATGGAGGACACAAGGAAGGTCTGGAACACACAGCTGTAAGGCTGTCAGCCCTGCTGGCCAAGCCACTAGATGACCACCTGGTCCATGGTGGAGGATGCTAAATCACCTCTGATGGTTGGGCTGGTGGTTCCTTGGTGTGCATTACATGTTTGAGGCCAAACAACTCTGTGAAATAGGTGGGTGTCCACCTGCCCATGTTCTGGAACTGACACCCTATCTGAAGCGGATTGTATCTCCTCAGCTCCAGCTAATTCTCACATAGGTCATCTGTTGGTTGTTCACAGGCTTTTCAGTTTTTCAAGAGAACCCAGACATCTAATCTTTTATATAAAGTTGCTTAATTCTTTAATAAATAAAGCATGCTAAAAATACTTTTTGGCTTAAATAATGTCTTCCAGGTCACCAGTCAATAACTTCTCTATTCTTCTTTCCCATGTGCTTTATTTCTAACAAATGCTTCTAGAATTTCCATAGCTATGCCTAGCAGGGAAGCCAGTGTGGAATACAAAGCAAATAAGAAGGGGGACAAGCCAAGGAGACCTGTCATTCCATTCACAGCTTATCCAAGCACTCACGGAGAGATTGGCTCTTTCAAAAAGGACACAGAAAAGAAAAACTTTGCATCTGACAGCTCTGAAGAAGGAGCAAGTGTGAGCATGTGTCTCCTGACCTGTGGCTCTGACATAGCAAAAGAACAAACAAACAAAAGTACTGAGGACTGGGCAGTGTTGCTTGTACTGAGCTTGGACTTGAGAGGCATTGGTGAGGTGGAAGCTGGGGCAAGGATTATGTTGCCTCCTGGGCCTTGCCTGCATAGGAGAGATGAATTCTCTGTGCAGTGTCCATAGGGGCATCTGGTAGACCATGGTAAAGTGCCTTAACCTCATTGTAGCAGACATCTTTCTACCTATAATCTTTACCTTCTTTGTGTCTTGAGAAATAAGTATCAAAACTAAACAAAATTCCAATGTCCTCATTAGAACTTTTCAGTTTCTTAATTGTCCACAGCACAATGCTCCTTCCTTCAGTACCTCTTTGTATCTCACATATAAGACTGAAACTCAGAGACTTGGAAGGAAGAAGTGTGTCGACTTCATTACTACGGGCTTTCACAGCTGGCATTGTCAATAAGATTTTTTTTTTTTCTTCCTGAGCCATCTTGGATAGGTTTTGAGCCCTTGGAGCTGAGATTGTTTTATAAACCTCTGACCATATCTACAGGAAGTTAAATATTGGRACCCTTTATCTGGATCATTAGAAGACCTACCTAGAATACCATGGGGTTTCATCAAAGATAGGCTCCTAGGTGCTAATTTCACTGGTTATCAAGACCATTTCTAACTCTTTGGGCCCCACCAACATAGATGTATCAAGAGCCAAACAAATGAGATTACTGTAAAAGAAATCTAAGTCACCAGTGACTACAGCAAAGTAAAAGATTCCATTTTCACTCACTCACCGTATACTCTGGTGGTATCCTGGCGCCAAATCCAAAGGCTGGGAACATTTTGTCACTGAAATTAAAATTAAAAAAAAAAAAGAAAAGAAAAAAGAAGTTGCTTCATTTGTTCATCTAATGAGAGAGAGAAACATGAACTTGCATATAACCTCATTAGGAGGTATTCCTATGCCATGTGCTGACTCATGCTTCTTAATTATTTGTGGGATTGGGAGATAGCAATAGCATGGTTAATTAATGCCAAGCAATAATCCCCTGAATTCATTACAGTCTTTTTTTTTTTTTTTTTTGGCACCAGAGATTGAACTCAGGGGCACTTGACCAGTGAGCCACATCTCCAGCCCTATTTTGTATTTATTTAGAGACAGGGTCTCACTGAATTGCTTAGCACCTGGCTGAGGCACTTTGCTGAGGGTGGCTTTGAACTCATGATCCTCCCGCCTCACCCTCCAGAGCCGCTGGGATTATAGGCATGTGCCACTGGGCCCAACTACAGTCTTTAGTCTGTAGCTTCTTCCCTTAACTTTTTGCTAGATTTAATATTGAAAACTAAAACGACCCCAGAATTTATACATATCTCTATCCCTGTCCTGACTTTCTGTTTCCTTTGGAAAGTGATCATAAATTAGGTGACCTCTACAGTTGACTGTATTAAGTTGACTGTATTATCTATATCTATATATGTATATAATATGTATATAAGAATATATGTATATAAATACATATAATATGAATATATATATTATCTTAAAATTTTAAGTGAAGGTTATTTTTTTCATTTTGCTTATGGAAAAACACCTTGAGAAGTAATGTGACTTGCCCATGATGGAACTGCTAATTAGAACCAGTGTTCAAATACAGATGGGCCTGAATCCAAGGGGATATTAAAAAACAGTGGGAAGCTTGTCAATATTGTTACTTGACAGAGCATGGTTTCATCTACAATATTCACTCACCGCCTTATCACACACGTGTCTTTTCTTATATACTGATCTCAAAGAGACCCTACCTTTTTTATTAGTGTCTTTACATCTCCACTGCCCTCTGTCCCTAACTGTCCTGTGCCCTGCCTTTATCACCTGCCATAGAAATAATCGATGACTAGACAATCCATTAATTTAAATCATTAACACGTGGCTATCTAAAAAAGGGAGAATTYTTGTGAAAAGTCATGAGAGTCAGTCACATGTGTGCCCTTGGGTTTGGTTTCTTTTATGCACATTGGAATTTCTCTCCCAATTAATTTATTTATGTGTATTGTTTCTTAACTCTGACTCTTACTGGACTGTATGTAAGAGAATGATGAAGAGAAGAATTGACCCTAATTGGGCCCTACCAACATAGACAGATATACTATGTACTAAGATATCTATGTACTTATTTAATTCTCACACAACCTTGGAAGTTCCACCTAATTATTATTCCCATTTTATAGATGAATAAGTGGCATCTCAGGAAAGCTGAGTATGTGGCCTACCATGATTACCAGGGAGTACTATGTGAGTCCAAAGCCCATGACTTATCTGTTATACCATTGTAATTGAGTGGTCATATCAAAATCAGTATCAAACCTGATTTCCTACTGGAATTCCAGTAACCAGGTCCCCTTACTAGTCACTTTGCTATCAGGCAGGTATTTCGATGGGGGTCTAGAATGTTGATCCTCACAGAAGGCACTTCCTGCTTATGCTTTCAACCTTCCATTTCTTCTCCCATTAAAAACATGTCCGAGATTTTTTTTTTTCTTAAAGCAATTCCTATATCTTACTTCTGGGTAGAGTTAGTTGAGGAGAGAGAGAGAAATTCATAATAGGGCTCCTTCCTGTATAGCTTCTGTAAGTAAAAGGAGACATACATCATCCCTTCCCCCCAGGGTGGTTGACTTGGACAAGGTCAAAGTTGGATCCTCGCCCATCACCACCTAAYGGATTGGAAGTCTTTAGTGACCAATGATGGATTTGACAAAATGTCCCCAAACACCTCCAACTTGACAAATTTGGGGTTAGAGATATAAGGAAGCCAGAATTATTTGATGTCAAAGTCTAACTCTTGAGAAAACCACCAGCTCTCCCTTTTTTTCACGGTGGCATCAATCCAGGCTTTTCGGTGCGTTGCATCTAGCATGTATTAGAGAAAGCATTAACCCTGATAGACAGAGATTCACAACAGCTTATGAAAAGGATTATCCACAGCTCTGAGAAAATAGACTTCTGGTCCTTGAAAATATTGAAATAGCTTGTGTTAGCAACTCCTCAACCAAAACAAGGGCCATGAGAGCTGGGAAAAACTTTTCAGTTACATCTAAAAGAAGGCTTTCCTGGGTGGAGGATGGGTTCTTCCAACTCGGGGATGGCTCAGAAGTCAAAACTCAGAAAACTGGGAGACTCAGCATCCTTTATTTTCTTCTTTGATGAGTTTAGGAAGGGGGTGAGATCTAATACTCCATCCATTTCTAATCACTGACCCAGTGTTCCAGCCTTGATGATATTCCTTTCATACCTTCTAAGCCACCCTTGGGGACCTGGAGTTTGCTGAGCGCAATGCACTGTTATGYAATTGAGTTTCAAGAACAGGAAGGTAGGGAAGAAAAACCTCACCTACAAGGGGAATAATTAATGAGCCAGAAGGGATAAATCCTCTGAAGTTAGTCACCACAAGGCTGCTAACTAATAAACACACTAAATAAAAAAAAATTCAAGCCTAAGCACAATAGATTTAAGCATTCATTCTTCCTGTGTAAAAATAAAACCAGGCAGAAAGTAGTCTTACGCARGAAGGAAATGCACAGAGGAAAGCATCAGCATGCCCACACTTCAAAGAGCTCAGGATTAGATCCACTCTACATTAAGCAAAAGGCCATTTAACAACTATTAGGAAAATGACCTCCAAAGACTGCCAATCTGGAAAGTCAGGAGTGTATTGCCACATTGGTAAAGGCAATAATGCTACTTACTGGCAGATTAAAAGAGTATAAAATATAATCAAAGTGCCCAGGTTCCTCCATGGTAATGAGTAAGCTGTCTTGAACTTCCTAGGGAATGACCACGGTCAAATGATCTCCTGATGGTAAGTTCATTTGTAACCACAATTTTCACTCTCACTCTCAAGGAAAGCATTGCAATAAACAGGAGGTTAACAAATGTCAAGACAAATTACTTGATCTACAAGGAAATAGAGACTAACTCAGAGCATGGTGCATTTCAGAGCACCTCACATTTAGTAAAGACTTTTCTCTAAARTAGTCATCTAGTCATCTTAAAAATAAGGTGCATGGAAATGCAAAGTTCTTCTGGAGATATGAGAAATAGCTTTTTCTTTCTTTCTTTCTTTTTTTTTTTTGAAGGAAATTGGTATTCAGTTCCTCTACTTCCATGCATATTCTCTGCTGAAATTGATCTTCTGGGAGCATCTGTGATGGAGAGACCTGTTTTCCATTCACACCTTTCCTTTCACAATCACCATTTCTCTTTACCTATTCTGAATCTTAACCACCATGGTGCATAGCTTCAGATATGCACTCTGCAGCATCAGATAAAGGAAAAATTCTAAACATGAATGATTCTCTAGGAAACAAGTCCTTTGGCAAATCAGGTGATTGCCAATTTTTGCTTTAAAAATTTTTAGGAAGTATTTGTGTCAGCTGATAGAGCATAAAACTGTATTTTGATGATTGACCATTATGTGATTTTGGGGTTATATAAATTAGAATTGAAAGAATTGTATAAGACTACTGATCAAAACTTTTCTGTTTCCATATATTGTTTATAAGTGCATATTTTGAGTATTTATATTGTCAAATTTAAAAAATGAATTAGAATTAACACTACCTTGTATTCTCATCCAAAGAAATGTAAGCTAATTGAAACCCCCTCCCCAAATCTCTTCCATTCACAGTCAATTTACAATAACATTTTACTTCTCATAAGCACTAATTAAATGCCGAAATTCCCAACAGTGTATGTTATTTTGATCAATTATTCACTAATGATAAATTATAGTTAAAATTCAACCCACATAATATTTAAAAATACTTTGAATCTTTTCATCATAGAAAAATTGAAAGTAAAAATTTCATCTATACAAAAATTAAATCTGTACAACTTCATATTTTTGTTACAAAAATATATGATACAGTGATCAATGAAAGGATTTCAAACCAAATTTATTAAGATACACTAGAATAAATTCTGTGGGAGAAGAGGGTGGAAAATAAAATGATGACAAAGAAGAAACTAAAAATCTCTAGTGAAACTTGAGAGCTTGTTCACTATTTTTTGAAAGAGTGATGGTGGATATCAAGGAGATACAGCATCTGGATTCTACTGGATAGTCCCAAGAGCTACAAAAGAGTTTACTTTTTATCATTTTTAACTAATACGAACAAATAAAATATATAATAAAAAAGAATTTGCTTTTAAATGTCCATATTTACAATACAATAAAATTTTCATGCTTCATCAGAATGAAAACTTATGATGAAAAATGTTACATTTCAATAAAAAATGCTTGAGGGTTATGCATTTTTTATAAAATTCTTTTTAGGGGCAAATGAGTAAAAAACAATATTGTCCAAGATGAATTTTAGAATGATACACCTTCCTTTCTCCTTTTGTGTTTAGTTGATTTTTTAAAAAATAACTTTAGGGTATGTATTAGAGATAACGCTTTCCATTATTCTACSATAGGCAGAACTTGTACTGGCTAGCCACCTCATAGCTAGTCTTTACAATTGCTCTACAAAGGAAGTTAGATATACCTTCAGCTTGCAATCAAAGAAACCAAGACCCAAAGACTATAAATCTCATGAGAATAGAGGTAGCAGAGTGAGGATTTGAAGCCAGTTCTACCTGTCACCAGGACCCCCAAGATCTTTTCATCACTTCTGTTGACTCTGTTCTCTATAGGAAGCTGATCTGATGTAAGGATTCAGAATAATTACAAAAAGGGGCAAAMGTGGCAGAATTGTGATTGGCCCAGGAACCACCATCCTCAGGAGTCTTGGCCATGCCTCTTCCTGCAAGGATTGAGCTGAGCCTTCTCTCCTTTTGCATTTCCCATACTTTCATGAGGCAAGGCTGCCTTGGCCAGGTTGGGCTGTGACTTATTTACATATCTTTCTCTCCCATGAGACTATGAGCTATTGGGAGGAAAATCATGCTTTATTAAATTTTCTGTCTTTGTAGCACCATTTGAGGTGCCTGGCACTTAATAAATGCTGAAAAGGAAGGTCCTTAATCATTTCATTTGARCTATCTCTCCAGATTTGACTCTGGGTATAGACTCTGGATACCTATAGAATAAAAAAAAAAATCTGATTCCAAGGTGCACACCAGACAAATCAGAGTCTTGGGGGTTTGAGATAGACATCAGTTATTTTGAGGCTTTCCAATTGGTTTCAATGTGTGGCCAAAGCTGAGAACCTCTGATTGGTGTTGGCAGAGTGGAAAAGGTACCACTGGGATATGAACCCACCTTCTGATTACTAACCCAACTCTCTATACTTGAAAATCCCTGTTAGATTGGATTTCAGTTTTAACCTTGTCTCTGCACAGTACCCAGCATGTTGTGGAGAAAAACTCTTGCCTCAGTTTTTGATATCCCCTTTCTATTCTGAGGCTTCCTATAGAATGCTCTTTACAATGGCAATTGGTACTTCCGAGCAATGCATTCAGTTTTTAAACTCTTTTCCTACCAGGCAGGCTAGTCTTTTAATTAGAGGACATTTCAGGTTGTCAGATGCCCACATCCTTGCTGCAGAGAGACAAGGATTCTTATAGGAGCTGGGAAAGTGCCCCGCACCAGCAGAGAGTGCATGAGCTTGTGTGGGCCTATAAGTGTGTGTGTGTGTGTGTATGTGCACATGTGTGCATGTGTGTATGCACATGCACACGTGTTTGTACATGGGAAAGCAAGGCAGAGGCAGGGACCGCAGTGTCTGTTTMAGAGGTTGAGGGATTATCTTCTGGGCTTGAAGACCAGCTATTTGTGGGGAGGCTCCCTTTAAGGYCGCCCTGAGAAGAGCTTTATGCATCTTTCAAGCTGTTCTACTTCATGGATCACCTCATAATGACCTGGTAGCAATGACTGTACAAGGCAGAAAGAAAAACCCTTAGCTGTCAGAGGYGGGGAGGAATTTCTAAGGCTCATGGGGATTAAAAACCTCTGTGTTGTTTCAGGAGGGGGAATGATGCCTTCTGTCAGTTTTTATTCAAGTGTTTCTTTATAGGCACCAACCTTACTGACTTTGATGCGAGAATAAATTAATTCCGGGGCCTTGACTTGAAATTTCCCGACTCTGCCTGTCTATTGTCTATCCACCCACACAAAGGAGAAGCTGCGGAACCTTGTCAGTTTTTAAGAGAGTGGTTTGCATTACACATTTTGCTAGGGAGTCTTTTATGAGAGTGTTGAGGTTTTTTTCAATCCCCCTTTTTTTTTCTCTCAGAATTTGCCCACTTTTATGTTGAGCTGCCTTATTTATATCATTATACAAAAAATAAAAAGAAAGAAAGAAAAAAAAGAAAAAAGAAAAGAAAAGAAAGAAAGAAAGAAAGAAAGAAAGAAAGAAAGAAAGAAAGAAAGAAAGAAAAAGAAAAGACTCTATTGAGCTTCGGAGAATTAATTTTTTTTGGCCAGCTGGAAAAAAGACTTACCCTATTAAAACTGTTAAAGAAATTATTTATGGTGATTCTTCATGTAACTCCTAAGATAGTCTTTTATTTTTATACTGAATTTGTATTTTTGAAGCAATACTAAATACTCCCCAGATTTGTCTAGTTCATGTTCTACAGGAATAAGTTTTAAAAGATATACATGWCCCTCTGACTATAGTATCTGTATTTTGCATGTGAGTAAATTGGGAAAAGGAAGCACTCATCAGGGAGCTTCCAATAAACACTCCCCATAATAGATGAGCATCTGGATTATCCAATAAATCTGCTGCAGAATCACATGAGAGCTCTGAGCTTTGGCATCTTAAATTCCGGACAACTTAGCAGTCTTCTCTTTGGAATTCATTTTTGGACTGACTTTCCTGCAGATTCAGAGTCTTATTTTTTTTTTCCTATTAAGCATCTACTGTAGGATATATATGTTGAAAGTTTTTACCTACTTTATCTTGTAACTTTTTCAAAGTGGAGTTTGACTCTATTGCCAAATTCCTAGACTCAAGCCATTCTCCTGCCTCAGCCTTCTGAGTAGCTAGAACTACAGGCATGTACCACTGAGTCAGGAAAACTTATATATATATATGCATGTCAAGATTTAAAACTTAGGAATTTTGAAAACATGTGCTCCTTTCTTTCTTCTTTTTAACATGGGCACACATTATTATACCAGACTATTGGTGTGTCTGTGTGTGAGAGTGAAAGAATGGAGACAGTTACTGTTTTTGTATCTTGGGGGAGTTTGAAGAAGTTTCTGATAGAGTGGAGATGCACTTTGTCATCCTTTCCTCTCCCTGATGGAAATCTCCATCGGATACAAACCTCTCTAAGAATCCTGCCAGTATTGAAGCCTGATGATCACAGCTGAAACTCAAATTATCTTCACAGTCAATATCTCAAGGTTAAGTAGAACAAGTGGCACTTCACCAAGGGAATTTAAAATGACTGTTGCCTTCTGCCCTAGATGTATAGGAGGGGAAATATCAGCAAGGGCTTGAGTGGTTAAAGCTCTTTAATTTTACTGGGTCTGTGAATTCATTCCCCAACTGCTTTACTGCCCCATTGGAGTTTCCGCTGATGACCAAGTGGAATCCAGACACAAGAGCAGTCAGGTGACTGATGGGACCATTTCTGTAGCCTGTCCTCAGTTTGTTTTTCTATACATTCTGGTCACTAGGATGTGTGTACAGCGGGTTTTTAAAATATGGTTATCACCCATTACAAAACTTGAAAGAACAGAAATCATGCTATCCTATACCATTTCTCTGAAACCTGAAAGATAGAGTTGCTTCCTTTATTTTCCTGCTTTAAAAGGTTGATTAGTTACGCTCATTACTAACTAGACTTGTTTTATAATTATACCAGGGGATCGACTGAGATTGATACATATTTATATTTACATTGGTTCTCCCTCAAACAGCCTTCTTAGACAAACAGCTAAGCTCCTTCACCCATATTGGAAATACTGAAACAGCAGAATAAATCCAGTTGCATGTAATTTATGCAAATCACTTCTTACAGGGAATTTTTTTTTTTTGGTGGAAAATGTCAATATTTACCATCAGAAATAAATAAATAATACTGATGTATGTGATCACAAATCTTGTTTTCTATCGGTAGCTGCAAACACATGCACACTGGCACAGCCACATGTACGCACCCAGGCAGACTCACACCCTTGCTAAAGTTGCCAATAGATTTGAAGTCAGTCATTTTGAACTTAAGATATGGGGTGAGCTAGATCTGGATTGAATCCTGCCTCTGGCCATGTGACCGTGTACAAATTACTTAATCTGCTTGTGTAGTTTTCTGACTTTAAAAAAAATAAAGGGTTTGAGCAAGGATTAAATATAATAACATCCCAATAAACCCATGCTTGTGAACTTCAAAGTACACGCAAATCATACAGGAATCTTGTTAAGATGAAAATTCTATTTCAGTAGTTCAGGAATGATGCCAGTTCATGAGCAAAYTTTTGAGTAGCAAAGTTCATACTAAGACATCATAAAATGCACACTCAAATCACTATCTGGCGATCGTGCAAGGCACTTAAGAAAGCTGAGAAAGGATTTTGTTTGGTGACCAAAGTCAGCATRGCACTCAGTTTCATGTGAAGAATTGCTAGACTTTCATTTGCATTCTTTGGCTGAAGGGAAATCATCTCTTGAGTGGGTCACCTGAACCCACTCAAGAGATGATTCACCTACAGTCTCTTACCTGTCATAGTCTTGGCAAATCTCCCCAACAGCCACCAAGGCCTTGAGATACTCATTGGGTTGGTAAGGGTGGATATAGTGCAAGGAGCAGCTGTTCCTGGGGTCCCCATTTGAGGCAGTGAAATCTATAGCAACCTGGAAAAGAAACATAGAAAAATAGGTGGAGTTCCAATGAATGCATCTCCTAGGAATTGTGATTAGTCATGAGAGAGAGATGGCCACAGATGGAAAAAAAAAGAAGCACATTATATACCCTGCCAATAAGAAAAGTAAGAGAAGAAATTAATTAGCTTCTTGAAATACTATTAATTTAGTGGAGGTCATTTCTGCAGTTTTTAACTCATCTATCCAATGCTTTCTCTTCTCCCTGTGCAAAACAGAACTTGAGATTGACATATAGGTGATAGAGCCTATCCACTCGTGATCCATGTCACTAGGCATTAAGAATAAGGGTAGGATGTCTGTCTTCCAATTTCACAATTCACTAAGAAAAGACTTCTATGCTTCCTGGCCAGAACAATTCTATCTGTGAGGCATAGGTAAGATTCCTTAAAACCAAATTCTGTGTTGAAAATACAGTCTTCATAAAAAAAAAATTGTTGTGTTTCCACGAATGGCCAATTGCAGAGATTCATTGAAGTGGTTATAACAAATTTTCTGCAAGGAGCAACTCTAGGAAGGCACTCAAATTTTTGGTTCCCATTTATGCAAGGACTCCTACCTGTAACAAAGAAGGCTCCTGAATATTTGGTATTGTGAGTGGGAAGAAGAGAAGTTAAACTTTGTCTTGCCACCAAGAAGTCCTTATCCCTCTTCTTAAACTTTTCTTTCACCTGACTCATAATCATCCAAATAAAAGATAAAGATTACTCACCAAACACTTGTGAACAACAATAAATGCTTAAGTTTGGTGGTGTTAAAATGTGAGGGAACATTTTCCTCTGATTTCCCAAAAACCAAAAAACAACTACAACTCTCAAACATGTATAAACTTGGGGTGGGGGAGGTTAAAAGAGGASTCTCTAGCAATTAGAGAAATGCAAATCAAAACTACTCTAAGATACWATCTCACTCCAGTAAGAATGGCAGCTATTATGAAGACAAACAATACTAAGTGGGTAAAAAGGTACACTCATACATTCCTGGTGGGACTGCAAATTGGTGCAGCCAATATGAAAAGCAGTATGGAGATTCCTTGGAAATCTGGGAATGGAACCCCACCATTTGACCCAGATTTCCCTCTCCTCGGACCATACCCAAAGGACTTCAAAACAGCATACTACAGGGACACAGCCACATCAATGTTTACAGCAGCACAATTCACAATAGCTAAACTGTGGAGCCAACCTAGATGCCCTTCAGTGGATGAATGGATAAAGAAAATGTGGCATATATACACAATGGAATTTTASTCAGCAATAAAAGAGAATAAAATCATGGCATTTGCAGGTAAATGGATGGCGTTGGCCAATCCCCCCAAAATAAATGCTGAATGTTTTCTCTGATATAAGGAGGCTGACTCATAGTGGGGTAGGGAGGGGGAGCATGGGAGGAATAGATGAATTCTAGATTGGGCAGAGGGGTGGGAGGGAAAGAGGTCAGTGGATTATCAAGGATGGTGGAATGTGTTGGACATCATTATCCAAAGMACATATGAAGACACGAATTGGGTGTCAAAATACTTTATATACAAACAGAGATATGAAAAATTGTGATATATATGTGTAATAAGAATTTTAATGTATTCTGATGTCATTTATTTATTTATTTATTAAATAAATTTAAAAAAAAGAGGAGTCATAGGAAGGAAGTCAACATTCATGTTGCAGCTTTTCTCTCCTTCCAAGGACAGYAGAATATACCCATTGTCTTATTAATGACAAGGAGTCTCTAATTTCTCTAATTTCTTATATGATCTGAAGGAACAAAAGATGGGAAATGTTATTTGAATYATATTTGGTTAATTCCACTATCACAAATAACTGGAATGCTCCATTGGATTTTTATATAATGGGACWTTACTTCTGTAAGGATAAAGAAAAGACAGCATGTGCTTTCTTATTGCTTATTTAAAGAATACATTTGATGGGAAAAATATTGTGACCCTGTAATTATATCAAAATAATTAAAAAAGAAAAACAATAGACTAATAGTAACTCACAACCTCTTTTTCTTTTTTTTTTTTTTGTAAAGTTATTTTTCATCACTAATTTAGTTTTCCCTTTCTTCCTTAACCCTTCTATAGGATTATGTTGAAAATTAATTGGGTACGATTCAAATCCTGCTTTCAGGACGCTGAAGTATTTTCAAAAAGGGATAACCTACTGACAAAATGTGAGCGCTAACAGTGTGAAAAGAAAAGTCATGAAAAAGAAAACTGCAGTTCCACCCTGAGATGGCTAACAAAGGGGAGAAGAGAGGAATGACTTTTGTTAAAACCCTTTCTTGGTGCCAGGCAGTGTACTTTTCAAGCATGATGTTATTTCATTTTCATAAAAACTCAGGTAGAGATTGCTGTTCCTTTTTATTGATAACACTGATGCTCAAAAGTGAAGTTTGTCCAGCYAATAGGGGGTGGAACTGGGTTTAAACCTAAATCTTCACGGCTCCCCAAACTATGTTTTACTATTATGCCATCATACACCCACAAGAATGTGTGAATCTGAGTCCAACACACCAGGAAGATTCTCATGGAAAGTGGAGGTGTTTGGCCTGAAGGTAGGGAGAACAGCTGGCAGGCTGATCTAGGGAAGAATGATTTTGACAAGAGTAGTTCTTTGTGACTACAACAGTTGCAAAAGGTCAAGAAAGAATTGTCGATATGTGCACAATGGTGGGAAAACGTGCAGAGCAGGACTGGAGGGGACCCAAAGGGCCAATACAATGCAGYGTCTTCTGAGATGGCTTTCATACTCATGGTAAGAGCCAATCTACTGGAAAAATAAAAAATAAAGGAAGACTATAGGTGAGGATCCCTTTGATCAAAGACTGTGATGATGAGCTAGCGATTCAGAGAAACCTACATGTATTCTGTGCAAAAGAAGGAGGCATAAAGCACCCTAGAATGCACCATGAGGCCCTGACCAGACAGAGGTCAAAATACATGCAGATAATTCCAGGAAAATATCTATAAGGGGAACACTTGAGAAAGGCTTGAGAGATGGTATCTGAAGCAGGCACTCTCTGRGGACCTCCAGAGTACTAAGTTCAACTCACAGAGTCCCTGTTCTCAGACTTTTACTCTTAAAGAGACACATGTAGGAGTGCACCTTGCACACGTGTGCGTAGTGTTTGAAAGGTAAAGGTATGCACGGACAGAAAACGGAGGGGAAACCAGTAGAGGAGAGAAAGGGGATCCAGGTGGGGGGGGGAGGGGAGGCCCTGGGTGATGAAATTAACCACATTATGTATGCTATGTGCATGTACGAATATACTAGAATGAACCTACTCATGTGTATAATTATAATGCATTAATTAAAAAAATTAAGGGGAGACCAGTAGAGTAGAGGAAGAGGATCAGGGGGAGAGAGAACTGGGAGTGGGGGAGGGAGGTACTGGAGAACGAAATGGGTCAAATGATGAGCTTGTGTCAATAGGGCACAATGAATCCCACTGTTACACATGATTATAGTGCACCCATAAAAACCAGAAAAAAAAAGGTAAAAGCAGTGGGAAAGGCCAGGTGTAAAGCTACCCCTTTCTCTCCTATTGAGGGAAGCATTTGGAAGCTCTGAGAAATCCTAGAGAATATAAAGAAGTTGTATGGATATTATCTTGGTTCTACTCTGATTGATCTGAAAAAGCAAATCATTGGCAAAGGTGGGTACTTTATTACTATTCTTATTTTTTTTTATGGTGCTGGGAATGGAACCCAGGGCCTCACATGTACTAGGCAAGCACTGTACCACTGAGCCACACCCCAGCTCTGAGACTTCACTTTTAATAATGAGTGTCTTGTGGCTCACCTCACCCCTGAAGCCCTCAATCATGGGTCACCACACTTTGCACCTCTGAAGGCATCCTACCTGTGTTTTCTTTTTTTAAATTGAGTTTTAAAGGTCTATTGACAGTAGAGWGTATTTTGACATATCATATATAAATGGAGTATAATTTCCCATTTTTGTGGTTGTACATGATGTGGAGTTACATTGATTGTGTATTCATGTGTGAATGTAGGAAAGTTATGTCCAATTCATTCTACTATCTCCTATTCCCATCCTCCCTCCCTTCCCTTCATTTCCCTTTGTCTAATCCAATGAACTCTTTTCTTCCCTCCTCACCCCCTTATTGTGTGTTAGCATCCACATACCAAAGAGGGCATTTGGCCTTTGTATTTTGGGGATTGGTTTATTTCACTTAGCATGATAGTCTTCAGTTCCATCCATTTACTGGCAAGTGCCATAATGTCATTCTTCTTTATGGCTGAGTAATATTCCATTGTATATATACCACATTTTCTTTATCCATTCATTTCTTAAAGGTCACTTAGTTTGGTTCCAAAGCTTAGTTATTATGAATTGAGCTGCTATAAACATTGACGTGGACATGTCACTATAGTATGCTGATTTTAAGTCCTTTTTATCTGTGTTTCTTGATACTGAAGCTGACAATCAGCCCCATGCATTGATGACCTGCCAGAAAATCCTGAAGTGTCAAAGAYATTATATGATGTCAAAGGGGCTGGTGTGTTGATAGAGAATTAGAGAATGAAACCAGGTTATGTAGACAGAGGGGGAAAGTCCATAGGAAAAACAGCAAATAAAGAAATAAAATGGTTCCTTGTTCTCCCTGGGTGTGGGCAAGATCCTCCAAGCATGCAGCCGCCTGGTGCCAGTCACCTGAGCCCAGGTGGATCAGTTGGTTGAGTATGTTAAGATATCCAGAGAAATGCATGTCATGTCCAGGTGAGTATTCATAGACTTTATGCAACAATGTATTTTAAAATATTTTTTAAYAACATATCTTAGAGCTGGGGCTAGGGTAAATCAAAAGAGGTGGCYAAGATATAAAACCTAAGGAGGCATTCATTATCAGCTGACCCTACACTCGTACCATCCTGAGACTGAATGCCTCCTTGAATTTTGTCCCCCTCTCTGGCCTCCTCCTTCCCCCTCCTGGTCCATTATGTCATTTCA